AAACTGAATTTGCTTTTGAAAATGATTGAGGTTTGACATTGACAACTGTGGTAAATTGTAGTAATGAATTTGTGTTTGCATGATAAAAGCTTTTGAAAATACATATGTATTTATTAAATTTTTAATTTAATATAAAAAATATATTTAAAATATTTTATTTTTAATATTTAATTTTTTTTTCAAATTTTGCAAATGACAGGGAAAAAAATAACAACAAAAAAAATATAAACGAGATTGTTTATAACTTCAAAATCCATAAAATTATTCTATTAAGCCAAATCAAAATATACCAGAATCTATGGGCAGATGAAATCATTGGTTGATTTATTTTCAAAAACCGCCTATTAGTTTATGGGGAATCCTATAAAGTCATGATTTACACTTTTTCGTGCCTGAAATGGAGGATTTTGATACGGATAACCCTTGGCTGCAACAGGATGGGAATGGAATATATGCCATACAGCCAACAAAGAAAACAATTTATTAAAGAAAACTTTTGTTGAGCCCATGATCCCATGTTGTGGACACATTTTTGTGATTTTATTTTTACGCACATAAGCTCGACATGACTAACGCCTAACTCATCGGGCCTATTGACTAGAATTTATTCGAGCCAGCGATGACTTATTTAGCGACGAACTTATTATCAAAATTTAATGGTAAACCTTTTTCTTTATAATAGAACTAAATATTGGTCATAACATTGTCTAAAAAACACTCTTATTGTATCCGTTTCGACGTAGCTTCTAGCTAGGATAACTACAAACAGATTCATAGTTTAAGCAAAAAAGTTTCAACTATTTTCAATAGATCCCAAGAATTTAGAGCTCAAATCAGTCTTCATGGACGATAGCACATCCATAGTGTTGCCATGAGCACTACATATTCCCAAAGCTAACAGTCTATAGAATGTCGCCTGTCGCTAGTAAGCTTTACAACATTTCCTTATACGTTGCCCAAGATTTATTCATTTGACGATAAGAGTGTGTTTTCTGTTAATTTTTCATAATTGTATGATTACGTACGTAATTGGCTAAAAAGCTCAGTTATCTCCTTATACCCTGGTTTCCAATAAAGGACTATTTTCTTTTCTCCATCTCTTTACATAGTGCTAGACCTAAAGACCTCGTACTGTATGAAAGTAAAGTCGTATTGGCCGCTTAGCTATCTAGAAAATATGAATTCTCATTTTATATAGGTCAGATCCTTGCAATAACTTTGATGCCAACACAATACTACAGTATCCAAAAGTTTTAATTCTTAGCTCATTTGAGGACTTTAGAGATTTACTTTTCCACATCCCTCGAGCATATTAGAAAAAATTTAATACGAGTATATTTGGAAATCAGTTTTAGAAGAATTAAATCGATTCTCCAAATATTTTAATAATTTTTTTTTCTACATAGATATATATTATGTATTATATGTATTTACATATAAATTCGATTAGAAAAAATGTATGTATGAAAAATTTAGAAAAGAAAAGTCAAAATTTATTGGCATATATTTGATATTTTTAAAATTTTTAAAAGACGTAGCTAATAAAACAAAAATTGAGAAAAAAAAATTCACTAAAATAAAAATTATTAAAAAAAATTTCAAATTTTTTTTTTGTTGATATCTTATATTAATTTTCAATGAAACGTTAACAATGTTCAAAAAAAATTATATGATTTAGTCTAAAATTTGCATTTATATTAAAAACGAAATAATACATTTTTCTTAATATGTTTTACTTAAATATTGACAAAAAAAAGTGTTTATAAAATATTAATCCGATGTTTTAACAGAAAACAATGCAGCAAAAAATAAATAAAATGTTATATTTATGTTATTTCAAAAATTATTTTTTTATAATTATACTAGTAATCTTTTTTAAAAGAAAGTATTTATTATTATTATTAAATTAAAAAGAAGTTTTCAACAGAAAAAAATGGCATCCAATATAAAAAAAATAATTATTATTATTTTAAAACCTTTATTAAAATTTAAATAAAAAGTAAAGCAAAACATTTCGTTGCTCCTAAAAAATTCAACATATTTTTGAATTCCAAACAGAGGTTAATTAATTGGTATTATTAATAATAATTTTAAAATATTTATTAATTGCCTTTTAAATTTCAATTTAACAGCCAATATAATTCTTAACATTTTTTGGTTGCCTCTGTTTAAAATCCCTTACTTACCAAAAAAAAAAAACATTGGTAAATATACTTTTGTGTGTGTACAATAAATGCGTGTAAATTAAGTGCAATTACATAATTACTTATTTATAGCTCAATTTCTATGTAGCTAGTACAAAAGCCTCAAAGCAACACCACCACACCATCATCAAATGATGGCTATATGACTGCTGCCATAAAGTGCTTTGAAGCATGAGAAGTTCTGCTATAAAAGTAACAAGCGATAATAGCACGAGTGCGTACCTATGTGCATTAGTACGTGATATCGGAAATTGTATGTGTTCATATGTTTGCTTGTATTAGCCGCACTATTTGCATTTTGGCATTTTTCTATTATTATTTTTTTTTTTTTTTTTGCTTTATTCTTACTTATCACCAAAGCATTCTTTGACGTTCCAACAACAACGAACAATCGATTGGTAATTGTTCTCTCAGCGCTCGATATGTTTCCTTGCAAATGCACATTAAAAGGCACACCTAAATTAAGCTTTTCGTGTATGTGTAAGTAAAATAAAACCACAAAAACAAAAATATGTGTTTTTTTCGTTTGTTGCAACATCAATAAAGAAACAAATAGAGAAAAAAAATATCCCGAGAAAAAAGAATAACAAAATTGTAGTGGCAGACAATGAATGTTAGTCAGTGTTTTATTTTTTTTTGTAGTATTAGTCGTAGTTTTACGTGTCTGTTAACCAAAAAGCAAAACACAAGTAAGCACACACACACATATACTAAAACAGCGTTGGCGGTGTACCGGTTTGTATTGCTGTGTTGAGAGTAAAATCTTTCTTGACTGACATTAAAGTCAAAAGACTTAAGACACAAACTTGCTTTGTTGCCAAAGTGTTGTGCTTGACTGTGCAACTTGTGTGGGGCTTTTTGAACAAATTGGAAAGTGTTTATGAGAGATGGAAATCTCTTTCTTTGAGGTAGCTGGTAGACACAAAATTAATGGCAGCGATGTTGTTGTTCGCCATGCAAAGAAATTTTTTTGTTATCTAAATAGTATGTTTGCTATAATCGCATGTAGCAACTAGTGTTGCCAGAAAATGTAAGCGACTTGGTATGTGATGGTAGAAAAACACATGTCACTCGTTAAATACACTTAAGCCGCAAGCATAATGTGCTGATAGCTTATTTCATCAGTCAATGTCAAGGACTTGGCGTTTGCTATCATGCAGCACGTGATGTGCGACTAGTATGTATGAGTATAAATTGATAGACTAAGCTAGCTATTCTATTTGTTTTTCTAACTGTTATATTGTTTTTTGTTTTTTTTTATTTAAACTTTAGCAATTTTATTTTTATTTGCCACTTCTATAATTTTGTTTGACTTTCATGTCACGTTGTTTTCCAAGCCTTTCTGATGTTAATTTTGCGTGAAAGCAAAATCATATTCATATCAATGTAATACTTATGCTCAGCCTGAATAAAAGTGATAGTTTAATATTTCTTTTCAGCGTGTGTAAATAAAAGTGAAAAAATAAGAAAGTTTATCCACACAAACGTTCCCTGCGGTTTATTGTTATGAGAAGAGCTGACAAATATGTGTCAATAAAATCATAAGGAAATAAAGTTAATTTGCATAATTATATTTCTGCTATTTATTGATGAAAAAAGATACTATTTAAATAAATTTTGCTTTTGTTATAATTTTTTTCCATATCAGCTTTCATTTCCTTTGCACCATAGAAATATCAAAAGATTTGCCGACTCAATGGGTTTTCAATATATGTATGTACATATGTATATATGGTAATAATGATTCAACTCATGTCATATGCAATAAATGTTAAGCAACTCAAACCAAGCCCAACCCAAAATAATCAACCTCAGCGCTGCCCTGTACAGCTGCTGCTCTATAGTACCCTAAGTAAGTTAATGACTCTCTAAAATTAGTTTCTTATTTATTTGTGTTCAACTTCAAGGTGTTCGTTTCATTTTTTCCCTAACTAACTATGCACAATAGTTTTTCTTAACTTAGAATAACTAATTATTTTATTATTGCTTACTATGTTATTTATTTCTTATTGGTTTCTTTGATTTTTTATTTTTCTTTTAAATCTCGGATCTTTTTTCTCGGCCACCTTAGTTTTCGACACTTAATTTTCTGCTCCAAAAACAATTGGTATTATGTAAACTGCCTCGTGCTGATTTTCACGCCAACAATGACACGCAATTTGCAAATAATATTGTTATTTTGTGGGCTTGAGTGCTGTGCGCTAGGAAGTCATGAATAATGGGCGTGCAATTGATTTGTAGTATACATTAGCATATTTTTGATTTGGGGAAAATCGAATTACTTTATTATACTAAAATATATATAATATATATATATAACTCCAAAATGTTGCTCAATGGCTAGTAAAATAATTTGATTAAAAATTTTGATATTATCAAAAAATTTAAATAAAATTGTTCTAACTGAATAATGATCTAAAATGCAATTCAGTTAGCAAAAATACATTAAATTAGTTATATGTTTATTAGAAAATTTATTTATTATTTTTAATTTATTATTTTTAATTTATTCAAAAATTAGCAGCAATTATGGAATAAAACGTACTCACTCATAATTTAGCGAGGTTCCATTTATAAAATGGCAAAAAAATTAAATAAATAAATTGTTGCCTACATTCAGCCGCACCATTCTTATTTTAGCAATGTTCCACACCTAATATACATACATATGTTTACAAAACTATCCCTTTTTCACTCAAAAAATTCAATTTGCTTATACGAAACATTTTTGCTCTGCACATTACTTTATTGAGAGTAAAAAATTTTAAATATTTTCTCTCTCTTTCCCTCTTTCAGATCAAACACCCGCGGCTTCGCTATTCACACCACGCATTGCGACCACATCACCACTGGACTCGCCCTTCTACTCTGCCACACATGGCGTTGTACAAACACATCCGTCGCTGGGTTCAAGTATACCCAGTCCATTGCCGTTGAATGGCAATAGTTTGGGTAGTGGTGGCGGTCTGTCAAATACGCTTACCGTCGGTAGTGGTTACCTTAATTCACGTGCTAATTTGCCTAAATTCAATACCGCACGTTATCCGCAAATTGCGAATACTGTTGTTGATCCTAATCCGCAGTCACCGTTCCGTCATTTGGATTTCTCCACTAGTGCCACCGCTGAGCTGAGACGTAATCCAACGTTATCGGCGCCGGATGAGTGTGCGCGCGCCTGTCGTGAGGGTGAGCCGCCACGCATTTGTTATTATCATTTCACAATGGAGTTCTATACTGTGTTGGGCGCGTAAGTATAAAATAAGTAGAAAATTGTAGTTAATGAAATAGGATTTGAGAATTTTTTGGAAAAAGTACACAACTGTTAAGCACTCTAGAAATATGTAACTTTCTTTTTATTTATTTGTCTTAACTACATTTCCCTTATTACTTTTTCTATTTTATATAGCTTTGAAATAAATATATATGCCCTTATGTTGGCATATTAGCGTAAGCTTAGGCAAGACTTTTAATAGTTTAAGCATATCATATAAAATATTGCCTACAGTTCAGTATATCTTATGCCAAACTTTTGTGAAGAAAGTAAGCTAAACGAGACGAATGTTAAAGAATCATTTACCCATTTAATAATTTCCAAAAATCTTCTACTATTTTTTATATATTCCACATTTTATTGCAAACGTAATTTTTTTTCTACCCTTGCATAATAGAATTTCACTACTTCATTGCCTCAGCATAAAATATTGCGTTTCATTTTCAGCCCAGTAGTGGGTAACGTTTAGAAATAAATTAAACTGAACTACAAAACGTTGTCTACATCCAGGCACTTCAGTTAATATTTTACCAAAGCCTCACACCGCATGAATCAATTACGTTTATACACTTAAGGAAATTAAAAAAAATTGTTTTCGAAATTGTGTCATTTAGATGAGCTTAATACACAATCTATTACGTCACCAAAAAATTTCATCTGCAAATATTTTGAATTGCTGCTAAATTATTGTCACAACAATGATGAATGCTTGACATACTGCGAGAAATATGTGAACACACACACACACCAATAACTAAACAACAACAATTCACAGGCATAACAATGAAATTGCCAGCCACATAATTGATGTGACAAAATAAAGCACGTGAGCCATAAAGCATTTTTGTGCGACAGCAGAGACATTTTTTTTAATACTTGAGATAACTGCCATCCCAACAGATTTATATTTATTGTATAATTTTTGAAAATTTTTTTCACATATTATTTCTTACAAAATCCAATGCAAATGCGCATGACCTAATAAGAATAGTCAGTAGTATGCACCTTGGAAATAAAGTCACCAAACCAGCACAACAGATGCAAAAGTCGTTGACGCAAAATGCCAATAGCAAACGAACGTTACAACGAACGGCAACAAATTCAACGGCAATTATTTCACGTACTTACAACCAGGTGAAAAAAACAAATACTCAAAGCAACATTGTCTTGAGCATTGTGGCCTAAATGTGGCACAATAGTAATGTGGTGTTGAGAAAGCAAAGCGAAGTAAAAGCAATGCAAATAACCGAGATAAATCGATGCTGCAATTTACATGCACACATACATACAAACACATACGCATTCATATCTATTTGCATGTCATGATAATCGCAATTATAACTATGTGGCGCCACATAGAAATGCATATCAATAGCGAATATAAGAGCATTGAAAACTGTAAAAAGTGAGAGTGCTTTGAGGTTTTGCAAGCAAATGCTATTTATACAGTAATACCACACATAAGCAATTCCCAGAGGTCTTTAGATATTTGAAATATATTTTGAAAGTAAAGAAATTCAATGTTTATTTTTAAAATCAATAAAATTAGCATTCTTCGTCAATGTTTTCCTTTTTCTATATTTCTTGCATGGCATGCACTGCACTCAAATATGCACACATCTGTAGAGTGTGCACTTTTATTCAAATATATCTGCACATAAACATTTTTTTGCGGTAAAGAAATTCCCACATTACTTGAAACACCGCCGCCATAACAAGAATTGACAGTTATTGCATGCCGGCGGCGTCAAAAATGTTTGCAGTTTTATAATAATGAAAAAAACTATTAAGGGGTGTCTTTTCTACACGTGTGATTTTCAATGACTGTTACTTGATTTATATCCAATTTGGTTTGCCATTTCATAATGAACATATTTTGTCGGGGACAAAGTTTGCAAATCGTGCAAATTTATTACCAAAATAATGGTTCGGTCGTCATATTCGCCCAGCACTGTTGGTGTGCTCTATGGGCAGAGGGATTCATTAGTATATATTTCATTAAAAATGAAGCCAACCCTAATGTTTCAGCTAATGGGCAACACTATAGAGCTGTGATTAAAGACTTAGAATTGGTGGATGTTGATGTGAACAAGCCTATTAATTTATTGGCGTATCGTGTAACCTCGATTATCGAGCGATTTAACACCACTGAACTATTTTTGGTGAGATTGAAATTACTTGTCCACGCGCATCATCCTGAGTCATTTGATGCTTGGAAGTGAAGACCCTGCAAAAAGTGGTCTAAATTTGGGCCTTTCGGCCTAACTCTATCCTAAATATCATCTGTTGGTTCCCAGCTTTAAGGATATGGATACCAAGGAAGGAATGCGCTGCCTGTTTAACTGAAAACAGCAGATATTTCATCTTGTTTTCTTAGACTATCAAATCCGTTTGATAAGCTCTTTTGTTTAATCTAGAAAATATCGTATTTTTTATAAGGGTATGAAGGTCAATGCTGTCGATATTATCAGCATATGCTAGCATTGTATTTTCTTCATCATTATTTTAAAAAGTCACACACTACCAAGAGTCAATTTGTCTGAGACTTCATTCCAAGCAAACAAAACTTTCGTGTCCGTAAATCCTGGCATGGAAATCGTTTGAACCGGCTTCGATGTAGCTGTAAGTGTTCCACTTTTCATCACCAGTCGCCAGTCACCATCCGTTTGTGAAAGGGGTCGATTTTGATACGAATCTCAGATGGAAATTCGTTTCATGAGATTTTTTCTCATTAACTCATGTAACCCCTATACATCGATGTTCTTTGTGCGTCCAACCTTTTTCAAGCAGTTTCAAAATGTTTTTTGTGCAATGCTTACGATGAATGCTATCTCCTGGGCAATCAAAACAGTGCTCCCTTGGTGCTCGGCATAGACTATTTCCATTATTTTATCGACATTTCCTACAAATGACCTTACACGCCAAAGAGTATCTTTTACATCAAAAATTAGTAGAACGAAATAGACGAAACGAAAATTGTGCTCGATTGACTATTTCACTATTGGCACCGTTGAGACTATTAACATTTGAAGCTATCTAACTTGCGTTTAAGCTTTTAGCGTAGAATAATTGTAACGTGTAGCGTATTTCCTCTTTGCTGGTGTCCATCTTTGACATGCACTCAAACACTCTTTTCTTATTCTTTTTTTAGTACAAAAATATCGTATAGCCGTCTTGCGTAAGCCAATTGTATTTATGTGATATGAGATACAGATCCCCAAAGCTTTCTAGTGCAAAAGTAATGAATTACTTTTTACTTGGCCTAATAAGTTTATTTAACAAAATAAAAAATTGCTTCAACAGCATTTCAAGGTCATATAAATGTATTGAAACTTAAAAAAGGAACCCCGTTAATGCATAACATTAGACGAAAGTATGTAACAGTATTTTTAAACATTTCATAAAATTATAAAAAATCTGGGTCTTAAAAAATTTGTATTACCATCCCGTTCATTTCATTTACTTAAAAAACCCAGTGGGCCAGCCAAAACCAACTGACTATTCCAACTGCAATTTTTTGTATGCGCTAAACAATTTCACCATTTTCAATTAAATTTTTATTTACTCTTTAAAAGAAAAACCAACGCACAGCAACTTTGTTTGTGCGACAGTGCATGAAACGCCATAATTATGGATCTAAAAGTTTTTCAACAATTTAATTACATTTATTTGCGCACGAACAGAAAACACGGAAAAGCGTTGGCAACAATATAGTATTTTATTAAAATATATTTTGTTTTTCGTTACATTTTTCGTGTTATATATAAAATATTTGATTATGCAAACAAGAGTTTACGTGAATTATCTGCAGCGAAATTGCAATAGAAATTAACTTTGCTAAAATTATAGTGAAGTTGCTGATGAAATTAATTTAATAGTTTTAGCAGACAAATGTATGTAAAGCATGCTGTAGGTCAGTAAAACAGGAAGAAATATATTTTTTTTTTTTAATTTTTAAGGCCAGAAAGAAGCTTAGCAATCAAAAGTAATGGTTTTTACTAATTTAATATTGTGTAATTGTAATTGTTGGTGAGCAATAATAGTTGTAAAAGTAACTACTGCTGCTGTGTTTTAATTTTAAAACTAGTAGTTAATGCATTTAGAATCTCAGAAGCAGTTATTTTGATATGAGTATTAGTCATAATAAATAATTAAAAATGAATTGAATTCGCCAATTAGACTTCTGATGCAATTAAAGTCGTTGAGTGAGCGCTTAACTGATAAGTGTAACGTATTTTATGCGTAAATTCAATTAATTAACACGTACGTGTCAATTAGCTTTCATATTAAGCTTAATTAGGTGAGTTAGTTAAATTAAAATATTTTGCTGAACTCGAGAAACCAACTCGACATAACAACTTTGAGAAAAATATGCTGATTTTTACTTTGTTTAGAAAAAATATCTGGCTTATACTGAACAAGATTTCATGTTTAGCTAAATTTTATGTCTATCGAGATTTTATGTGTCTAGCTATTTTCTCTGCTTGAAAGTATTTACTTAATTGAACTGTTTCGCTTTTTTATGCCACGCAACGTTTTATGCCCAGCATAATTAAATGTTCAGCAACATTTTATGCCTGACAATATTTTGTGTTTAGTAATATTTTCTGCTAAAGAGCACAAAATTATGCCTTTTGTTACTTTGTTAATATATTAAAATTATCTATTTGACTCTTTTTGTTACGCAACATTTTTATTCAAGCTTTATTTTATGTTAAGCAAAATTTTATATAGAGCAATATTTTTGGGCAATATATTTTCTGTTTAGCTATTTTTTTTTTGCTACGCAACATTTTATGCCCAACATTATCTTATGTTTAGTAACATTTTATATTCAGCAATGTATTAAAATATATATAAAATATTTTATGTTTAGCTTATTATTTGTTTAGCAACATTTTATGTTTATGTTTTTTATTTATTATTCAACAATATTTTAACAGTTTATGTTTATTAAAGGTTTTAATATATAATGTTATTAATTTTGTATTAAACTATTTATTTGCAAAAAAATTATAAAAAAATTTGAAAATACTTTATGTTTAGCAATATTTTCTGTTTAACAAGTTTTTATATTTTGAAGAATTTTATGTATAAAAATTAGTAAGTTTGCAAAAATTAATTTTGCAAGCTTTTTTTTATGCTAAGTATAGTTGAACATATTTTATGTTAAGAAATATTTTATGTTTAGTCATATTTTATGTCTAGACATTTTATGAAGAGCGTAAGATTTTACAAAAGATGTATTATCTGTTGGCAATTTTTCTGCTATGCTTAATAAAATTTCATTTTTGTAAACATTTTGTGTTAAGCAATATTATTATATTATTTTATGCTTAACCATATATTATAGCTAAGCCAGAATTTTTACAAAACAGCATATCTATGCAAATTTTCTGCTTTATAGTAAATATGCTTAGCTATATATTGGATGAGTGCATAAGTTCGTGCCCGATTTCAAGTGCAAACTAAAATTGAAANTATATTTCTTTCACGAGCGCCACTCTTAAACGATTCGAACGGCATCCAGCGGAATCGGGCACGAACTTATGCACTCATCCACATTTATTTATTTATTTTAGTAACATTCTTTTGTTGGACAATTTTTATAAAACTCAAAGATTAGTAAAGTAATAATACCAAATAATTTTTCAATTTATAAAGAACAATTTTTCTAAAGAGTTTAGTTCTGACTAAAAAAAGTATTATTTCTTTAAATTCTCACCGGAAACATATGTATTCATATCAACCTCTATACTCTTCTACTCTTCACAGCGCCTGCCAGGTTTGCACACCAAATGCCACCAACACAGTCTGGAGTCACTGTCAATGTGTGCTGGCCGATGGTGTTGAACGTGGTATACTCACAGTGAATCGTATGATACCCGGTCCTAGCATACAGGTGTGTGAGAATGACAAAGTTGTTATCGATGTGGAGAATCATATGGAAGGTATGGAGACAACAATTCATTGGCACGGCATTTGGCAACGTGGATCACAATATTACGATGGTGTGCCATTCGTAACACAGTGTCCGATACAGCAGGGCAATACATTTAGGTGAGTTGGAAAGAAGCAAAAAGGATGTGAAAGAATTAAAAAATTTCAAAAATATTATTTTTGTTTTTAATTACTTTTTCTTCAAACAGATACCAATGGACCGGCAATGCAGGTACACATTTCTGGCACTCTCATCATGGTCTACAAAAATTGGATGGTATTTATGGCAGTATTGTCGTACGTCAACCACCATCCCGTGATCCCAACTCGCACTTATACGATTTCGATTTGACAACACACATTATGTTGATTAGTGATTGGTTGCATGAAGATGCCGCTGAACGTTATCCTGGGCGTTTGGCTGTCAATACCGGACAAGATCCCGAATCAGTGCTTATCAACGGCAAAGGTCAATTCCGTGATCCCAACACCGGCTTCATGACCAACACACCATTGGAAATTTTCACCATTACACCAGGACGTCGTTATCGTTTCCGTATGATTAACGCTTTTGCATCCGTGTGTCCAGCACAAGTGACAATTGAGGGTCATACAATGACAGTGATTGCTACAGATGGTGAACCAGTGCATCCGGTTGATGTGAATACGATTATTTCATTCTCAGGTGAGTAAGAGAAAAACAAATAAACGTATTTGTAAGACATCAAACATAGAAATATATAAATGAAATACAATTAGAATAAAAAGAGAAGCGTGTAAGCTGTGCCGCTGCAAGTAATATTTTTAGTAGAGCAGTTGGAAATACAAATCATTAGTAAAGTATAACAATTCTTTCTAATTTGTTTTTTTTTTTCTGTTACAATTTTCTGCATAAAATTAACTGCATTTATTATGCGAAACTCACACTCACAAGCACCACAAGTATGACATATGTATGTGCATATTCCATAATCATGAGCTGTCGGAATGATTGGCCAGTCATGCTGCGGTGCCTTTTTTGCGCCGCATTTTAAATATTTCTATGGGCATCACAACGCACGAAGCTCATTCATAATAAATATTTCCCATTAATTATGCAAGTCAGATCAATGCGTAGTATTGTAGTGCCTTTTATGGAATTTCATAATTGCTGATATTTGTAACACCCTGTAAATGAGCGGAGCGTAAAATAGGCATTAAAATAGTAAATGGTTTAAAGTGTAATATTGCCAATAGTGGCGGCACTCGGTGAAGGTGGAGTTCAAGAAAAAAAATTAAACGAACTAAAAGCCTAAAGCAAGTAAAAATAAATTACAGCATGATTTAATTTAATTTCTACTACAAGAAAAAAAATTAAAAATTAATTATATATATAAAAAAATTAAAAATTTTTAAAATGTAAAAAAAAAATAAGAAAAAAGGTTTAAAATAAAAATTTTAACTACACGCCAGCAAATTAACAAACTCATAATGCACAATGCAAAAGTTCATACTCTAAAGCAACACAAGGAACTCACCCACTAAATGTCTTAATATTTGTTTTAGTAATAAAACATAGACTCATGCTCATAAAATACTGTTTAATAGAACAAGTATGACAATAACAACATATTTTTGCATTATTAATAGGCAAGTTCGCGACCTTAATTTATATACAAATTTATATCCATTTATTTGCACTCTACTTGCTTTTTTTCCAATGTGTTTGAATACAACTAAATAGATAAATGCTCAACAGAATTTAGCAGTGTTTATTTGTGTAATTATGCAAACGTATGGATAAGTACTTAAACTAGGCGTAGTAAATGGTTAGTGGGAACTCAATTAACTCGTGTATTTCGCAGTTTTGTTGATAGGAAATGCAGAATAAAACCATTAGCGTGTGATCAGCATAAATCTTACGATGAAGGTTTATTATTATGTGACTTGGGCTGGAGTGTTAATTAATTAGGGAATGATTAATATTAGGTCAAGTAAGAAGTTTGTTCGTTTTTTGTCTAAGAGATGGCGTTATTTTCCATAGTACTAGTGTTACGTGTCGCATTATGTCATACTATACGGCACTGAAAACGTGTTTATTCGCGCCAAAATTTTGTCTTTGACAGTTTTTCGATTGATTGACTCAGTACGTTTTGAGCGCTCGTCAAAGATGGACACCAGCAAAGAGACAATTCACTATATTTTACAATTTTTCTTCGACCAAGGGGAAAAAGCAGCCAAAACGGCTAAAAAAATTAATTTAGTTTATGGGCCCGATACTGTAAACGAACGTGTAGCTCAAAAGTGGTTTGCTAGCTTCCGTTCCTTTAATTTCGATGTCAAAAATGCAGCAGATTTTGCTGTGTGTTTGGTGGGATTGGAAAGGAATCATCGACTATGAGCTGCTCCCCTATGGCCAAATGCTCATTTCGGGCCTTTACTGCCAACAGCTGGACCGCTTGAAGGCAGCACTCATCCAGAATACGCCATCTTTGATTAACAGAGACCGAATTGTGTTCCATCAGTACAACGCCAGGCCATACAAGTATTTGGTGAAGCGCCAGAAACTCCAGGACCTTGGATGGGAGGTCGTAATACACCCATCTCATAATCCGGACCTGGCACCAAGTGATTACCATCTTTTAATGTCCTTGGCGAACGCGCTTCATGGTAAGAAGTTGGCCTCAAAAGAGGCCTGTGAAAATTGGATCTCCGAGATTTTTGCCAATAGGGACGCAGCCTTCTACGAGAGGGGTGTAATGAAGTTGGCATCTCGTTGGCAACAAGTTTACAAATAAAAAGGCGCATATTGTTATTTGACTTAAATCGGACAAATGTACACGAAGTTATCATATTTTGAAAAATGTATAAAAAACCGAACGAACTTTTTGTCAAGTTTTTAAAGTAATACTACCAATCCAAGTATAGAAAGATTCCTAATTAAATATCTACTAAGAGGCGGGGAAATCACTCCGTAGCTACAGAAGTCAAATATATCACAAGGATTTTTGGTACCGTTACAGCATGGAACTTAACTCTTGTAAAGCAGCCGCAGACAAAAGAAGGGGTCTAAACTGTATATCACTGGTTATAAAATACGATAATTAAAACCCATCCTATTCTACTTGAAATATTCTTATTCTGTGGTCATAATGAGAGCTATAAAAATGACTTCCGTAAAAGTCCTGGAAACTATTCTCAACACTTTTCTCCTTTCGACACCGTCTCAGTCGTAGAAGAATCGCAGTATAGTACCACAAATAGTCCAGAAGAGCTGTTCTATACAATGTCAATCGTCCGCTTTAGTAATTACTTTGACATAAAAATCCTGTACAAAGAACCAGCTCAAAATTTGTAATGTGTTTAGGTAGACAATGGAATTCAATCACCGAAGCATGACACTACCAGGCCTTTGAAGTGCATTCACAGAAGCTGCTCAAACCCTCGGTCACAGGCCAATCAATTAATATATACTCCGACATCCGAGCTTTTGAGTCCACAAAACCGATAGTAGTAAAAAAGCGAAAAAATTCTCGAACAAATGTAACACAAACATAATCTGGGTGGATTAGTTCCTGAGTAGAATTCAATTTTAGCACAATAAAATCTGCACACGATGCTGGCCTACGTCTATCTACCGCAAAATATGTGTTAAATGTGGTATTCGCTAAGAAAGTTAATATCCTAGGGACCATTGGAAGCGCGTGCAACGTGACTGCGTGAATATGGCCGGTGTGAGACGCTATAAAAGCAAGGCGCTCTTTGATTATAGTCACTTTTGTCGGGTCTGCAAGGACGAAGGATGGGAAGAGCTTGTCGAACATTGCTTCTCTTAGTGTTTAGCGCATTAATTCCTTAAGGTTTTCTCACTGAGTTGACTTCAGCTGACGTTATCAAGCATGAAGCTTGATAACAACAGTATCACAATGGGCCAAAGGACTAAGTACAATGATCAAGCGGCTATTAACAGCATTAATTTAACTCAATTTTAGTACTAATATCATAATTAACACACATATTTCACATATTTCAAAATAATTTGTTTTCTTAATGTCATTAATCCCTTTATTTTTATGCTCGTAATCAAGGAAGAAAAGCACTCGTTCTACATACCTATATACATTTCGTGATCTCAAAAGTAAAGGCGTACATTCTGACATTTTTCAAACAAAACTTTCAAACAAAACATGTTTTGTTTTAGTTAAAAAACATGCATTAGTCGTCCGCCTACTCAACTTATTGATAAAATTTTAAAAAATTTTGAAGAGACTCGAAGGCCTCAGCCGAAGCACATTTCTCACTCGAAAGATACGTAAACAAGCAAAATTTGCGCATTTGGGTCTGCGAAGTATGACTGATCTTCACTGTGTTGAAAACCACAATGGTTGGCCTTTTTTTGTGGGGCTACCAGAAAAACTTTAACTCATTAACACTTAAATCCAACATTCGCCAAGTTATGGCTGAGATGACGCCAATTATATGCTGAAAAGTGGTCAAAAGTTATCGGATCGAGTTTTGCGAAAATTCGCGGGGCGGTCATTTGCCTTATGCAGTTTTTCACGTATAAAGCGAAGTTTCAAAGCTTTTAATAAAAAATTTGATTAAAGGAAAAACTTATTTTAAATGCATTTTCTCTACGTTTATTTTTAAAAACGCCCTAATACATAAATTAAATTAAATTAATAAACAAATAAGCCCGCGCCAAAATGAGCTCCAGTTTGCTTTGGTTTTTCTTTGTTATCATTTGATTCGTAAAAAGCTGTTTTTCTTTATCTCCAGCTCACTTTCCATTCCGGAAAATTATAATGGTTACTTCACTCAGAAATAAGGTACTCATATTCTGCGATTAAAAAAAAACTAATTTCGTGAAACCGTAAAATAATCACCCAAAATTAACTTTTCTTACGGGTTTCGGTTTGAATTTGTCACACTTTCACACACACACTACACTTTTTCAAATTATCTTTTACACTCATGTAATTATAAATAAATTGATTTGCACAAAAGCACGCTTCAATATTGTCTGTACGTATGTATGTACGTGTATATCGCTCACAGCGTATTGCACTGATTTCCACATATTATATTCTTCACTGTTTTATCACCTACAATTGCTCGAACAATTAACTTGACCAACAATTGGTACTTATGCATGAATTAAGCGAGTTAAATTTTTAAATGCTGCTGCAGGTGTTTATCGCGCCAGGCCCACTTTCTTATCTCTTGTGTAATCTTATCTTTCACGTACATAATTTTGGCTTACCATACAAGCGGTTTTCCTCTTACAAATTTGGTTTTCTTATAAATTCTTATTTTTTCGAACTAATCATTTAATAAGCAACTGTGGCTGTGGCAGCAATGACTGGTGCATTTTATAATCGGTTACTCTACAAGTTACCAATGAATAATTATGTACTCTTATAGAAACTTGTAATCTCTTTCTTGAAAATCATAAGCGCGTTAACTCCACAATTATTACCGATTTTCAAATGATTAACGATAATTAAGTAAATTTTGAATTTTTGTGCATTTTATAAGTATTTAATTTTCCGTCAACTTCTGTTATGTAGTATATTTGTTGTAGACGAAATCCATACAAATGGTTCATTATCTCATTACAGCGGGGCATTGGTAAACGAGTAATAACAGATTGAAGGTTACTTTGAAAAAAAAATGCATGAGTGATAATATTAATTCAAACGAAAAACACTTTGGTAATGTTTAAAAATGAAGAAACTTGTTATTTTCGGTTTTCACGCGGTATTTTTATTAAAACAATGCTCAAAAAAGGAATTACACTTTAAAATACTCCAAAAAATTTTGTAATAATATGTTGAAAAATGCAAAAGCTGTAGTTTTCCTATTTTGGGAATATTTTTTGATGTTTTTTTTTTTTAATAATTGCGAGTAAAATCCTTTAGCAAATCCTTTACCAACTAGACTACCGTATCATCCTTAACTGCAACCACCCTGTACTGAGCTCCACTCTAGCGACACCTAACGACTAACTGCGATTTCCATAACAATAACAATACCATTCCAAACAAGAGGCGTTTAGCGGACAAAAAATAATTTGCATATTTTTGTAATTTCCTTAATCCTAACAGCATCACCTCTAATATGAGAAAAATTCGACAATACATACAAGTTGTTACCTTAATTCGACTCTGGTGATATATAGCGGAATAAAAAATTTTCGTGAATTTTACATGCGTTAATCTAACTCAGAACTGTTCAAATATGATTCTGATCCCATCTACTTTGAGTGTAGGGTGTGTAGACGGCCGCCATAGCCAGGTGGTTAGCACAGTGTATTACTATTCGGAAGGTCAGGGTTCGATTCCTGACTCGACCAACATGCAAAGTTATAGAAAATAAATTTCTCTAATAGCGACAGAGAATGTCAAGTCCTCCGAGTGTATTTTCCAACATGAAATAAATGCTGCTCATAAAAACCCATCAAGAGGTATATAACAAATCAAAGCTCGGCCGAAAATCGATTCAGCGGTGGAAAATAATAAATATATATATGGAGACCTATGAAAGAATTCTGAAGTAAATTTCATAACTTTGAATATTGATTGATTGTTTTTTTTTCTTTTTTATAAAATTAAAAAAATTATAGAATGAAAATTTTTTACGAGTATTTAAATAATTCAATTAAAGAGTTATTAAAATCTGGTTTTACTCTAATTAAACATACTCACAAGGCAAACAAAATAGATAAATAATGATAATTGAGAAAAAAGTGAATTAATACCTTGATTTTTGTACAAAAAACTTTTTAAAAAATTTAAAACAGAGTCTTGTTTTACATATACAAATGAACAAAAAAATTAATGAAATTCAAAATAAATTAAAATTTAATTGAATTGTTCTTAAACTACTATTTTTCTCATAATCGTTTAATAAACAAATTGATAATAAAGTCCTTCAAGCGAAATTAAAAAGATTTTTTTTCGATACAATATTCTTTAAGAACCATATTTAAGAAAAACTGTATCACAATATTAGTAAATATGTTTGTTAGACCTCAAAAACAATCGCCTGTTTCTGTAAAATCCCTTATTTTCGACCAAAAATCGTTATTTCTAGCAATCATTTACAATATTGTACATTTAATTAATGTCAACAAGAGATTTTCCAACAATTTATCACTCATTTACGCGAAGCAATTTGTCATTATTACAAATATTATGGTTTTTTATTACCAATTGTATTAATCTAAAATCAAATGAACTGATTACTGAATCAGATTAAGCATACCAATCTATCATACAAATATATTTTATTAGCGAAATTTACAACAGCGGCACCCTTCGCCATTACTGAGCGGGTGTAATTATTTCAACCGCGAAGGAATTCAAAAATTGTGACCAGTTGCTAATTTGTAACAATTAATAGTGTACAATCCATTATAAATTGAAAAAAATCAGGGTCACATAAATTTCATAAAAATGCAACTGGTATTTTGAGTAAATAATAATAACAATAATAAATAGTTAACAGTCAATAGCGTAGTAATTTACAAAAGAAATATAATTATTTGAAGCAAATACTAATTTTTAATTAATAAATTATTGCTGTTATATATTGTTGTATGTACAGTTTGTTATATTATAAATATAATATGCTGCATTTTAATTTTAAGATTTTTCATATTTAATTTTTCGGAATCTTATAGATATTTATTTTTTTTATTGCCCATACAAAATAGATATTCCTTTCACTTACTCACTCCCACACTCATATTTTGACATATATCTCACTCTCTCTTCCACTCGCATTGCATTGCAGGCGAACGCTATGACTTCATTATCAATGCCAATCAACCTGTCGGCGCTTACTGGATACAGGTGCGCGGTTTGGGTGAATGTGGCATTCGTCGCGCACAACAGTTGGGTATTTTACGTTACGCTCGCGGCCCCTATCAACCCGCATCGGCTCCACCAACTTATGATGTTGGCATACCACAGGGTGTGGTAAGTAAATGGCTTATATATGTATTTGTATATATAATATTTATAATAGTATCTTTTGTTGTGCTAATAACAAAAAATGAGAAGGAGAAACCATAACAAAAAATATTTCACAAGTGTTATGGTCATTCAGAGTACAGCATTTGAAAATTGATTTGCATATTTTTGTTCCCATTTGAAGGAGTTTTATAAACGTATGTGTGAGTGTGTGTATACACGCTTAAGAAAAACCAAGCATGACTCAATGTCTACTTGTTCATATATGTATGTATGTATTAATGTGTATGCCTGTTTATTTCATTAAGTGACTGTCTGAAACTCAGATATTTATGATTTTACAATTTGAAGGTCCACTTAATTGTTGGAAACTAATCTGCCAAAGCCAAAAAAAAAATTAAGTAAAATTATTAAAAATATGGTAAAAAAAATGTTAGAATATTTTTCGGAAATTAATTTTTTGTTAAAATTCGTTTCTCACTTAGCAAAAATAAAATTTAAAATCATAGAGAGAATTTCTGAGAAAAGAAAAAAGTAAAAATATTTGCTCAAGATGCTCGAAAAGGCTCGAATTGCTCGAGTTTGCGCTCGAAAATTTTCGAGTAATGAACAATGAACGAGTGTGCAAGCTCCACTTGGTTGAAAATGTGCGAACAATATCTTGAGTTATAATCAAGGCTGTAAGGCCGTAAGCATAAAATTCAAATTAGTCGAAAAATGTTTATTGTTTCGATTGAAAGCAGTTTCCAAAATAAATGTCTTTTCGTTTTTACCCGAAGCGAAGGCTGTCGTTAATGCTAAATTGATAACGATAATGTTAAAATTGGAGTGTGCTGTTCAATACTAGCAGGCAGCCATTTTAAAATTAACGTTCACGATTTCATTTCGTTTTGATACCATGGCGACGAAGCGAGTTGAGTTAATTTTTCTTGCTAGCGAAACGGAATGATATCGTTGTTGTGTATATCTGGTTATAATACATAATTTGAATAAACAAAAGTTTCAAATATTTTGAATTACGAAATGAAAACATGCCAGCTATTCAAATCACGAAAAAATGCTATTTTTTCACTTAAATACTCTTTCTTTTAAAATGTATGGAAATTTGTATATTAAATTATTTTATTATTAAAATTTTCGATATACATTTGTTTGAATTTATAAAAGTATCAATAATTTCAAAATTAATAATATATAATATTTAAAAAGAATTACTTTAAAGTATTTTGCCATCTGTGCATTTTTTCTCCCTAAAAATTTATGAAAATTTAATATAATATTTTTTTTTTAGTTAAGTAATTTTTTTATGGATTGAGTTTTTTAAAGAATAACAAATTTTGAATCAAAAAAATCATTATTATATACATATAAGAGTTATTTAAATCACGAATTGAAAAAATTAAATTAAGATGTTAATAAGGAAAAATTGTCTGTTTGTAGACCCTTTTTAGGGTTGGAAACCATAACTTCTCAGAATAGATTTCGAAAAAAAATGTTTTTTTTTGTGTATTTAGTGATTTTAAGTACTAAAAAAACTACGCATAATTTATATATTTTTTTCAATATCACAATAATTTTAACTTAGCACTGACCACAGAGTGACCTTTTTCTCAATTGCTGAATTGCTTAATTTAAAAATAAATATTACACAATTATGGCAATTAGCTCAATGACAAAAGCAATGGCAAATTCACATAAATCTTTTAAGAACAAAACTTTTCTAAGCAGTTAAGGTACTAAATACAGTAAAATTCAATTCCGTGCTTACTTGTATGTAACAAAAAGATCAGTTAGCATAACTGCAGACGTGCATATAATTGATTTATGCCAATCAATTTGTAAATGCACAACAAAGCAAAGAAAAACTAATAATAAATAAAAATAATGAAAAATGTATTAAAAATAAAATGTTAAAGAACAAAATGCTACCACGCTTGCCATTGCCAATGAAATGCTGCAAAATGGATAAAAATCTTGAAATCATGAAAAAACAAAAAACAAAATACAAGAAAACATAAAAAATAAAAAATAAAAAATAATACTAAAAGCTAGAACGAATCAAGGAAAACCAAATAAATAAATATACTACTAAATATCTATATATGTATGTATGCAATGTACAAATCCAAAAGAAAAAATGGCGCCTTCTAATGCATTGGTAAGTCAAAGACAATCCAATTTTGCTCCACCAACGCTTGATGGCTATGTGTGACTAAGTCTTATATAGTTACACTAGCACCGGCACCGCCACCGCCAACTCTACTCTCCCACTCCACCACTACTCCCCACCAACCACTTCCCCAAACTTCCCAACAGTGCCATATTCATAAGATCACGCACCAATTTGCGCTTGCAAATCCACTGACACTGTGAAAACGTGAGTTGCTAGAAATAAATTCAATAATATTTATTTAAACAAATATTGTATACTAAGTGAAAAAACTTAAATAAAATAAAATAAAAATATGTACAGAAATAAGCAATTGTGTAAATTGTGGCACGTATATATGTATATTGGCTTGCTGCCGACATAAATGCCAAATACATATAAATATATATCAACATAAATATATGACCATATAATACATAGAATATGATTTTGGTTTATGGCTTAGCGCAGGTGCGCTTTGTACCGTAATAAACTGTTAAACTATTTTAATTATTGCTTGCAAATATATGCTTTATTGGAAATATAATAAAATCATATTTTTGGTACCTCTATACTTGAAATAGAAAAAAGTTTCCAAAACAGCCAAAAATTTGATTATTTTTACAAATTTTTCATATTTTATAATAACTCGAATTGAGGCGCCTAAAACGTATTTCATTACTGTATATTTTTATTACGACATTTATAAATTAATAACTGTATATATATGTATATATAATCAAAATACAAAATATACCCTCCCACAGCTGTATATGATTTTTGCTAATCAAAATTTTTTCTTATTTTTTCTTTACAACCAAACAATGCAACAAAAAATATCAACCAACAAACCCTCACCAAAAATTGCCAAAAATTGTACAAAAACAATAATGAATTCCTAACTGACTTCACAACTGAAATCAAATAAACGCTTTTCGGAAACACCAAAACAAAATTTAAAATATGCGATTTCATGTGAAATTTTGTATATAAAAACCAAATTCCTTCACAAAAAAAAAAAATAAATGGCACAAATGTATATAAATGCACACCTCTATGCTTATGCTATGAACTTGTATAAATTAATGCGTTAAAAAAAACGAATGTAAATTAAAATAAAAAAAAAATACTCAATACAACAAAATTCGCGCCCGACCAAAAAATTCATCGAAAAAAAAGGTTATGAATCCCCTCGACGCTCAATGTAATACGCCAAGAAACGATGCTGTTTGTGTAAGTCAACTGAAGAGCGCTTTGGAAATTGATCGTGGCATTTTAGCGGAGAAACCCGATGTGAAGATCTTTTTGCCTTTCCGTTTCTACGTTTACCGTCCTGAAGAATTGTTCCAGCCGAATACCTACAATCGTTATTTGGGTATGTTTTTGAAACTTTTATTTTTATGAGCATAGATTTTTATTTTCATTTTTTCTCTTTTCTGCCCCTTCAAGTTGCACCCACTGGCGATCACGTCATCTCACTGATCGATGAGATCTCGTATTTGTCACCACCAGCGCCGCTTACCTCACAATTCCATGAAATTAATCCTGAACAGTTTTGTAACGGTGATAATCGCCCAGCGAATTGCGGACCAAATTGCATGTGCACACATAAAATCGATATACCATTGAATGCGATCGTGGAAATGGTGCTAGTTGACGAAGGTGAGTTCAAAATATGATCAAAAAAAAATTAAAAACCTGAATATGAATAAAATTTAAATAAAATATTAAATTGCGAATCTAATAAGGTTTTGAAAGAAAAACATAATAATTTATAAAATAAAGATTTCTTCATTACAATTCTAAAATTCAATTAAATTCGATTACAAAACTCAAAACTAAAATCAAGAATTCAAACTTTTTAATCACAAGTCCAGTGGTAGAGCAAAATTAAAAATTTACATTTTAATTAGGAAATATAGATTAAAAAATTTAAAATTAAATAATTGAAGCTGAATTAAAAAGGAATACCAATACAAAAATGGTATAAATATAAAATATATAATGGAATAAAATAAAAACAACCCGAAAAAAATAGAAAAAAGAGTCGAAGTAATTTACCTTTCATAAACGTTTCAAATTTATGGTTTTTCATTTTAGGATTAAATATCAATTCTCGTATCTAAAAAATTGGCTGAGGCTATAGAATGAAGCTTTCCGATTCCATTGATTTCGGTGTAGCCAAGTTCACACTCTTATAAGCGAATTTTTTTTTTACTCAAAACCTCCATTCTGGACAAATCGCTCGAATGATTTTCCGTCAGATTTCAATAGCTTTCAGCACAAATATGTGATTTTACTCTCTTAGATACTTTTTTGAAAAATTTACGTATTCAAAATTTGCATATGCACGGTACGGACAAATGGTTTGGTTTGCGCACAAACAGGCGGACAGACGGACATGTTTAAATCAACTCAACTCGTCCATCTGACCCGAATTAACGGTGTAATTGTAGGAACCAAAATATGACAAAATAAAATTAAGTAAAATAAAATGCAATGAAATCAAATTGAAAAAGAATAAAATAATGTTAAATAAAATAAAATAAAAATCTTTAAAATAATATGTATAAAGGAAAATAAAAATGTTATGTGTAAACGAAAAATATATAAATTAATAGCAAATAAAATCATCAAATGTAAAATGACAGAAGACATAAATTAATATAAAATAAAATCATATGATTTAAGTGTAATTAAATTAATTTAAATAAAATAAAATAAACTAAACAAAAATATATAAATGCTCCATTTCAACCAACCCGTAACAATTTCATAATCACAATTCTTAATTCCTCAGACAACCAATTGTTATTCATAATTCGTTGGTATCTCCACTCAATCGCTTGCCTTTAAATTTTAGTCTAAATAATATTATTACAATTATTATATGGCTACAAATTTTCTGTTAAAACTCGATTGTCATGATAAGCAAAAAAAAAAAACACACACACACAATGCCTTGCAGCGCTGCCAGGTGCCTCCCAACCGGATACAAAACAATCGTAATGCAGCGTGACCGCGTAGATTGAAGAAATATTATAAAATAAATATAACGTATACAAACTTACATTCATACGTACATATGTATATACGTTTATAGTAATTTGCAATTCAACAACAGCGGCGCCCACGAGCCAACATTGGAAATTCAGTGCAAATTAGCATTTAAAAAGTAAAATTTTAAAATCAGCAAATCGAAATGCTGAATTGGAAATTGTGGGAAAATATTTTGCTGCAGAGAAATAAAAAAAAAGCAATAGCGCAGCAAATAAAGTTGTAAGCGCACGAAAATGACCATGCCTTCGGGCATTCACGAAACTTATGTCAGCGACTCTCAAAATAACTTTCAGAGTTATAAAGAGCCGCGCTTAGTTTTAGTTCTTGGTATTGCTTGTTTGAGTTAATAAAAAAAATAAACCCTCTGTACTAACATCAGCAAACACTAGAACTTTTTTATTATAACTTTTAACAAATTTCTAAATTTCACTCTTCCCCACACGCAGTTCAACAACCCAACTTGTCGCATCCCTTCCATTTGCATGGCTACAGTTATAGCGTTATCGGTATTGGTCGTTCGCCGGACACCAGCGTCAAGAAGATTAACTTGAAACACGCCTTGGACTTGGATCGTCGTGGTCTGTTGCACCGTCAATACAATTTACCACCATCAAAGGATACAATACCAGTGCCAAATAATGGTTATGTTGTATTGCGTTTCAGAGCGGACAACCCCGGTGAGTACGAAAGCTCGTAGAGAGCTTATCAAGAGTTATAAAAGGGAGTTGCAAGCTTACACAGAATCCTTAAAGCTTAATTTAGTTAATTGTTATAGCCATATAAAAGTTTATGATCTACAAACATTTCTTGAAAAGTTCAAAAACCTTATTTTGCGCATTTTCAAAAAGCTTTCGTCAAAAAAGTACTGCTTTAATGTAATATAACGTTTTTCAATTAAAATTCATGTCTTTCTTTCATTAACTGACACCATATGATTTTTCTCTACTCCACAGGTTTCTGGTTCTTCCACTGTCACTTCCTCTTCCACATAACAATCGGTATGAATCTTGTTTTACAAGTAGGCACAAACGCCGATTTGCCACCAGTGCCACCAGGCTTCCCAACGTGTGGCGATCACAAGGCGCCCATACCGATTAATTAAACATAATATAACCTTAAAGGTGCCAAATTCTTTCTAGACTTCATCTAGCGTATAGAAAGTATAACAGAAAATAAAAATCTTAGTAAAATATTATTATAAACAAGCCACAAAAGATGATTACAAATAATAATGAAGATATGAGCTTTGTACAAAGAAGAAGGAGAAAAAAGAAGAAACGCGAGAAGTAAAGCACGCAAAAAGTAAAATTATAATATATTCGTTGTAAAAACAATAAAATATAATGTAAATATTTAATTTCAAATTTTAATGCGACAATCCATAAAACGTAACGCCGGTAAATAGTGGAAATTATGCGAAAATTATAAATAAAAAAAGTGAAAGCTTTGCTACCAAAGCCCAAAATATCATAGCAAGCCAATTATAACAAGTAATAATTCAAGGTATTTTTTCAAGAAAAGCTGAGTACTAAGGAAACTTTCGCGCTGTAATCAAAACAAATATAATAATGTGCTTTTTGCAGCTTTACGAATGCGCAAGCTTTTCCCAACTCTAAGACTTGCATTTACATATACTGTATATGCGTGAATAAGCACACATACACATACAAACATATGGCACGAATATAATGGTAAAGCGATCTTACGTGCAAGACACTGAGGCATATGCGAAGCTCTTTCGAATGTGAAGCGTTGTTATCAGCGAGCGCGTTGTCGTTTGTGCGCAGCAGTCATATATAAACAAAAAAAAAAAAACTAAAAGATATATATGTATATAACATGACATATATAATATATATTTTTTTTCTACTTAAATACTTAGCTTTTAATGCTTCTTCTTGTATTTTATTTCCTTTGTTTTCATTTGAGTTAGTTTATAATTTTTAAGCTTAAACATGACTGTAAAAATAATTAAGTTTTTTCATATTTTTCTTGAATTTGTATTTGTGTTACAAAGTAGTTCCTTTTTCCTTCATCGAAATTCTTTTCCCTTTCTAATGCATTTTTTTATCTGCATACTTACGTCTTTGTTTTTGTTGAGGTTTATTTGACTTGTTTTTTTTTTAATATATTTTTGATAATTATAGTACTTAGTTTTGCTTAAGTGTAAAAAAAAGACAACAACCAGCTGATTGTAAAAAGCGAATTATTATTTTTTTTTATTTTTTTTTGTATTTATAAATAAGTCTACAATTATATTACTTTTCGACCATGTGTATGTAGGAAACGAAAGAAAAACTGAAAACTGGCAGAAACTGAACTTAAATATACTTACTATTTGTATATACTACATATTTCAGTTTCATGCTAGATTTGTATGTATGTAAATAAGTTATCCCAATAACACTGCCATGGCACCAATAAATATGCAAGAATATTGCAATAAATAACATGCACACATGAAAATATATAGTATTAACGGTATGCACATAAACTGAAATGCGTAAGCATGTATGTATGTGCATACATATAAATATGCATATGCTTGTAAAAAAAAGACAAACAATAAGTATATATACATATTTACAAATGTTCAAACATACATACAACAAAACATACACAACAACATGAACAACAAATAATATGTATGAACATTCGTATACATACATATTTACATGATAACCAAATAATTATAGGCGTGTTTGTAAGATACATATACACTTACACCGACTGTATGTACCTGGAGAGTTGTTTAATTGCAAAAAGAAAAACACCATGTCCGGTACCAACACCAAAAACTACAATATATGGAACGAATATACACAAAACTTAAACAAAACTTAAACAAAACAACAACAACAACAACAACAATAACAAGAACAACATTGACTCAAAAACAAAGCTTGAAGTTTTGCTCCCATACTTATACGTATATATATATATATATCTGTTTAATTTTATATAGAGAAAAGGAAGGGAAAAATCTCTAAAAAAAACATATATAATTGTAATAAAAAAATATTTGTAAATTAAATAACTTAATAAATAAATAAATAAATATAATTTTTTAGTTAAAATATTGTCTTCTAATTATGCACAGCTTAATTTTTGCACACTACGCATATTTTTATTAATGAAAATTAATAGAAAAAAATATATTTAAAGTATATGTAAATAATTATTATACATACTATATATATGAATATATGTAATATATATATGTGTTCATCAAATGCTATATAACTATAAGCTTCAAAGCATATAACAGAAGAGAACGAAGCGCAGATCGTTGATAATTAAAATTTAGGTAAGTAAAAACACCCAAAAACCCACCCACACCGCCAAAAAGTACTGCATTATACCTGAAAAGCTTAAAGCTTTCGTTGATTAAAAAAAAAAATTACCAAACGCCACTTCTATTGATTGGTAAATTTTTACTTACTTTTTTTTTTTTATTTTAAAAAGTTCATTGCTTTAGAGTTGGTAATTATCTAATAAGGGTTATATAATATAATCAATTTTGGTTTGATAAATGAAAGATTGTATTAAATTCTCAAACATGAAAGCTCTTTTAGTAATTATTATTTATGATTTTTATATTTAACACACACTCTCTTTCTCTTTCTTTCTCTCTCCTTCTCGCTCGCTCTCTATTTTTCTCTATTTCCCACTGACTTTATTTCTCTCTCTTTCCTTTCCTCTTTTCCTCTCTATTTTTCTTTCTCGATTCACTCTCTATTTCTCTCTCCCCCTTTCTTTTATTTATTCCTCTCTTCCTCACTATCTTTCTCCGTCTTTTTCTCCGCCTTTTTCTCCCTCTTTTTCTCCCTCTTTTTCACCCCATTTTTCTCCCTCTCTTCCTACCACTCTTCCTCCCACTCTTTCTCCGCCTATTTTTCCCCCTCTCTCTTCCTCTATTTCTTCGTCTTTTTCTTCGTCTCTTTTTTCGTCTCTTTCTTCGCCTCTTTTTTCGTCTCTTGTTTCCAATCTTTCTTCCTATCTTTTTTCCTCTCTTACTTCCTATCTTACTTCCTCTCTTTCTCCCTCTCTTTCTTCCTGTCTTTCTCTCTCCCTCTATTCCTCTTTTTCTCTCTCCCTTTATTCCTCTTTTTCTCTCGCTCTTTCTCTCCTCTTCTCTTTCCTTTCCCCCTGTCCACACCTACCGTCTCTCTCTCTCTCTCTCTCTCTCGCTTTCTTTTCAACAGGTCATGAATCCACTTGATGCCATCTGTAATCGCAAGCGTAACGATGCCGTTTGTGTCTCGAATTTGAAAAATGCCAAAGCTGTGGACAAAGGTGTTTTGGTTGAGCGTCCTGATGTTAAAATTTTCCTACCATTCCGTTTCTTTGTATACGATGTAAAGAATCTCTTTGTTGCGAATACTTATAATCGTTATTTGGGTAAGTTGTCGATGTCCTTTTCCCGTTCTTTGGCATTTTGTATAAAAGTAGTGAATTTTTTATTCGTTAAAATTGAGTAATAATGCTCTGCTTGCTTACGTTTAAATAGCTTAACGCTTGCCCAATTCCCAATTATGCATATAGATCTACATATCTATATGTATGATACTTTTGTATTTAAAAAAAAATTCTTAGAACAAATATTTACATTTCTGTGCAGATAGTAATAAATATGCGCTTAAAGGAATGAAAGAAAATCTAGTAAGCTTCTTGTAAAATATATTTAAAGCTTTATTCTGCAACAGTAAGCTTTTACTACAGTAGAGAACCATTTTGCTTGCCTACCTGCTGATCCAAAATATGTATATCAATTAAAAATATTTATTTTATTACAACTGATGGCGCACTTAACATTTTTCACCTGAAAAATAATCGAACCATAATTATTTCCCGCCCAAAGCAGGGAAAAACCGAAAATCTAAATTAAAAGTAAGCACCTGGAAGAAATTTTGTAGATAGTTTTTTTTATTCATAACTGTTTTTCATCTTACTTTATTAACTGAAGCAAAACGGAAAGATGAAGACGGAAAGCATCACTGCATTTGCATGGATTATAATTTATTTCAGTACAATTTTGAGTAAATAATATGGCTTATAAAGTCCATAGTTTAAAAACCATTATATTTTCAATAACTTGTCAGAACAATCTATATATATATAGAAACTTTAAAAGTAAAAAATCGTAAAAACATTGAATTAACGGACTGAATCTTAAAACTTACGACAAATTTCATGAAACCTTCACATCCGAAACAGATTCCCATAGTAGTCATCGAGAATACCTATATTCGCCATCAGTGTATACGCTTTATAAATATTTTTTTAAAAGCTTTATTCTGCACAACATAAATAACTTTCGCTTAAAACATAAAGAGTAGAAAATCTAATTAGAAAAATTGCAGATAATTTGTTGAGCTTTTGCATGGCAAATAGAAAATATACAGATGTGTTCAGAGTAATAAGAACAACCAGACTGCTAACAAAAAAATTTTACTTAATTTTTTTCCAATAAAATTTTATTTTAGCTTTGTTTTCTCAAATGTTAAGATAGATTTTGAAGTTTCCAAAATGGAAAATATATTAAAATGCCATTATATATATATTAGACATCCACCTAACCAATGAAGCAACATTTTCTGACATTTTCTGGGTATTTTGCTGTCACTCGATTTATAATCAGTTTGGCTTGCCATTTGTTAATGAACAGACTTACTCTGCAATAGACAGACTTACGAGCAACCATGGATCGATTTCCCCAGAGAGGGCTGCTGTGGAGCAGAGTATCGAAGAAGACCTAAATTAGTCCAACCGCCTTCGCGCGCAATAGTTGGAGCTGTGCCAATCCACTTTATGGAAGCTTTTCGGAAAGAATCCAATTGGTGCAAAGTCAGGGACCTGTGGCGTGGCCTCCAAGATCATTCTGTTTAACAGTGCTGAACTATGTTTTGAGGAGTTGCTTGCCTACTCAGCTAAGTCCACGACAATTGGCGCACGGGAGGATAACATGGCTGACATACGGCTCGAATTATTGTCAAGAGTGGCTGACAATGGATTCCCTCGGAATATATTCAATCCAGCCGCTGCGATCGCAATATATAAAAGAGCTGAATTTTTAGCCATAAATGATTATATGACTTTTAAGTCCTCTTGAATACCACATCTCAACCACATGTCGCGACTAAGATTTTATTAAATGCAACTTGGAAATTTTTTAAGTAAATTTGTTTATCATCATTCTGGTTTTTCTTACT